CCCCAAAACCCCAAAACCCCAAAACCCCAAGGATGATTATAAGGGAAAAATTGCATTTTTAATTTAAAACTTTAAATTAGAGGATAATTTAAAATGTTTAATTAACGAATAATAGTGAGGAGATGAATTTATACATCTTAATGCACCACTAACAATAAAATTGAATTAATTTGATACGTATTCATAAGCCTCGAAGTTTATTTACAAATTGGCCTTAAAACTGATATTCTCATTGCTATCAAGCTGTGAGATTAGCCATTAATAAGATTTTCTTACGATCATTAAGCATTTTTATGCCAACGTGTCGGCTTACTTTTTGGAAATGACGTGGAACTGAGAAAAGCTAAGCAACTTGCTGTTACTTGATTTAAGCATTTTCGAATGTTAGAAATTAGAAACTTTTAAAACTAACGAATGCCTAAATAGAATATATGAGAGGGATCTAAACCTTAACAGGAAACCCATTTCTTCCACAGAGTTATATTAGGTCTTCATTTGAAAGATATTGCTGGAGCTATTTGAGAATTCTGAAGTCTCCCGATGCACTTATAGTTTTGAGAACTGTCAAAAACATATCATTTGTTATTGGAAATTACTCTGTGATCCAAAGATTGCACTTCAATTCTGTATTCATCTCCTCTTTAACAGCTTTCCTAACGTAGGTGTTTCCCATTTTATAAGCCTCATCAAAATAATTCTGATAAGGAGTATTCTCTAAGTTTTCCTCTAAAATAGTACTTCCTTTTTGCTACAATAGTGAACAGTTAATAGTAAGTTTGTACATTTGACTCTTGTAAGTATTGATATTGTCAAAGATATGGAAGCCGAAGAATGATTTGCAAGGCTCATTTTGAATTCTAAGGTTCCTAAGATTAGTTTCTACAGGCTCTGCTCCCATAATTTCATTGATGATATTGATTCTCTCCTCAATCTCAAAATCCTGCATTTAATCTACTAGTTATTCTTTATCTCTATTCAATAGAATAAGATCGCAGTCTCTAAAGTAATCAGAGGCATTCCGGCCATCTCTGAATATTATAGACATATTCCTTCTCTTGTGTTTAAAGCCTGACATAGTAACGAAATTAAAATCTAATCTAAGATTTGATCCTATTTTCCAGACTTTAAAAGTGTCAGAAGGTAAAAATTTATGCAATCCAGGAATACAATTAGAGCTCAGATCCCAGGTTATTTCAAAATAGCAATCAGGTATTTCTTTAAGCCGATCTAAGACGACCACTCTCTTCTTTTGCCATTTAATTTTTCGTTTTTCTTCATTAGCCTAGTAGATGATAGAGTAAAGACCAATATTCTACATTTACCTTGCTATCTCACTGAGTCTCTAATCGAATTTATCCTACATTTTAATGCTTGCTCGAGCCTCAATTAAGATATTTACTGCTATCAGATAATCCTAATCATGCAAACTCAATTTTCCCGCCAATAATAGAGGAGTGTTTCCCCTTTGATCTCTCTCATTTATCTCATCCTTAACAAAAAGTTCAACATTTCCAAGCAGACACTGTTTAAGTAATTTGAAATTTTTTTAAAAGACCATTTTATGAAGTGGATATTTGCCATAAGACTAGATCTGAGCAAATAGTCCCATGTTATTGTCTTTTTATGATTCTAATATTGTAGTATTTAACTTTGTAATTTTTTGAGATGACTATCGATGAATTAAATTACTTTCGTCTAAATGTTTGGGGGTAATCTAGACACTTTGTAACTTTATCTTTTCTGTATTAGACTAAATAATGCTGTTCATAGTGAAATTCTTGTCATGCATAAATTGATTCGAATGACTGGTGAATTTCAAGTCAATAGTGTTTAACATCTATTCATTATTGAAAGATCCAAATTTATTGGCATTATAATTCTAATGAAGGTCATTTGCAACTAATTGATTTTTTAGGCCATTTTCAGTTGAATTTGAGCTTAATTAATGTTGAGTACTCGAGGGTCGTCCTCTAATATAGGTTTGCTGATTTATAGTATTTTGGAATTTATTGTTGTTTTAAAGATATATTTTTGTATTTTGCTGAGAATCATAAGACTAGCCTTTTCCAGCAATTGGTTTAGTAACTTTTTCAAGATTCCTAGTAAGATCTGTAAGATCGTTTTATGATTCAATATTAAGCTAAATTTGCTTTTTAAGCTATTCTCTATCTAATTTCTTGAGTTTATCTGGTGTGTTCTAATAAAATTCAGAAATTTTAGTGTTATTGATTGCAGTTGCTATTGGATAAATTTGCTAGGTATTAGTTGGAATCTTGTTATTATTTAATTTATCAATTACTTTTTTGTTTAGCTCAACGTCATTGAGTTCCACCTGCTTTAAATCCTTCATAATTTCATTCTTAATATTTGCTTGGTATTTTTGAAAGTACTACTGGCTACTTCGATCCATTGTCTAACTAAAATCGAATTTAGACCTTTTTCCATGCTGAAGACCATTCTATTTTTGTTTCTCGAAAATCTATCAACTCACACTCTGAATATTTTAATTATATTTGAATCGAAGCTTATCCAAATTTTTTGAACAGTGCTAGCTCGGCCTGATGTCATTATCTATGTCAGAAATTGATAATTAATTCGACTCTGATTGAGAAAGCTCTAATCTGATTTATCTTTTTTAATTAATTTAGAGGATTTATTGTGGATTATGCAGGTTTTTATTCAAGAGAGGTATTCTCTAGTTCTTTTCCATTAGAAAATCAATGATAATTTATATATTAATAAGATTACTTCTTTCTATATCTACTTTAATCCTCTCATATGGGGTTTTGGGGTTTTGGGG